GTAAGCACTTATATAAACATTTAAAAGGACAACATATATAAACATTCCAGAAGAAGAATAGTTTACTTTCGCAACACGAAACTTAAAATCGCAACGCGAAAATGACTATCGCAACGCGGAAATGGCTATCGCAATGCGAAATGAAAATCGCAACGACAAAATCGCAACGCGAAACACAAATCGCATTGCGATTTCGCGTTGCGATTTTGTCGTTGCGATTTTCATTTCGCATTGCGATAGCCATTTCAGCGTTGCGATAGTCATTTTCGTGTTGCGAAAGTAAACTATTCTTCTTCTGCAAATTGAAACTTGAATGGATTGCATTACTTCAACCAAAAGACAAAAACAAAACCAAAAACAAATACTAACAAAAACAGTTTAGCAGTATTGGTAGCAACCGAATGAATTACGAGTATGAAAAATCTTAAACTTACCTCGTTGCGTAGAGTATGAACCTCATTCTGCAACGATGTTACCATCTCACGTAGAGCGGCTACCTCACCGCGTAATGTAGACACCTCAACACGCCATGCACCATCGTCTTTGCGTAAAGTACCGACCTCCTCACGCAAGGCATTAACCTCATCACGTAACTCCCCTAACTCATCCCGTTGAGGTGGAGGTGGAGAACAGGGAGATAAACGTCGTGGCATCTTTGCCGGTCGCCTATATTGCGGTGATGGTGGAGAAGAGGCTCGATGATGTGACAGAATAGGCGATGGTTGTCGTTATGGAGGTGTATAGTCGGGTCGATCAGATGATGGCTCTGGGTGAGGTGATAGCTCTGGGCGAGGTGATGGCTCCTGAAGTGGAGGCTGCTCATCAACCGTTCCATCAAAAAAACGCTTACTAGCTTGCCACCAATCAGTGGCAAGCTCAGCTTCCGTGGGTGTCATCCTCTGTAGAGGAGTGTTGGCCTCTTAACAATATAAAAGCTCAAACAAAGTTAAACGTGTACTAGTAATAACTTGTTTATAAACATATGGTAGTATTTATGTTAACTTACATTATTTATTGTCGTATACTGTAGTAAATCTTCCCATTGCAAGGTCCGTTTCCTCTTCCAGGAAATAGCCCTGGGAATATCATTTGAAGTTTTTATTGCATATGTCTTCATGGCGGGAAAGGCCTCAAATATCCAAATCTACAAACAATATAATAACAAACATTAGTAATTGTTAAATAATTACTTATAATTTTGGAAACATTATATAAAAATTCTTACCTTAAAGGCCCAAATAAAGCCTGTCAAAGTGTATTTGGAACCATCGCCATGCAAACTTTTTCGATCATCCAAGGCAGACGATAACTTATTCCATGTAGCTTTCCATAAATACGAGCCCCACAGAAACAAGTTCCACGCATTTAGGTCTTCTACCAATTTGATTAGATCATTTGGAATAGGTTGTCTGGCCTCTCTGCCTAAAAAGCCGGCATGCAAAAGAATTAGAAGGCATACTCAGACAACGTCGATGTCATCCATCCGAGTAAAACCATCTTTCTTATTCAACAATCTTGTCAGGTCTTCTACGTGTAGATTCGACCTCTCCAGCTCAAGAAAAACCCGGGATAGCCATGATGGGCGGGTAATGTGTCTAGTGTACCGACCTACATCATCGTGTCCGAAGCGTAGACCGGTGATTAAACAAAACTCCTCCCGCCCAAAACACGTATACGCTGGTGGAAAATCAAACCATATCTCTTCATCACGACGTTGTATAGTCTCTGGTAGATCGCTAGTCATGGTTTGAAGAAACAAGTGTGTCAACATCGCATCTCCACCGGGATATTGTACTTTCAGCCATGGCCCGAAGCATGTATCCTCAAACATTTTTCTTTGTGCAGGTGAAAGCTTCGACGCAATTGTTTTGGCCAGGCTAACTTTATTTCTTAAGGTCAATTGAGCCAAATAAAAGTTCTACAAAAACAATAAACATACTAAGTTAGATATACCAAAAACTACACTGTGAAGATATACCAAAAACAATAATAAACATAAAGAGTAGTAGTTTATTCTTCAAACTTAAATTTGCAACATTGTGAATTTCGTATTTGTCTTTGTTTTTTGGTTGAAGTAATGCAATTCATTCAAGTTTCAATTTGCAGAAGAAGAATAGTTTCTGAAAATGAAAATCGCAACACGAAAATGACTATCGCAACGCGAATTTGACTATCGCAACGAGAGAATCGCAACGCGAAACTAAAATCGCGTTGCGATTTGCATTTCGCGTTGCGATTCTCGGTTGATTTAATAAGCAATCTAAGTGAAATGGTTAATCTATTATTGAAATTACCAGTAAACTTATCATCAATTTCAATATGAAAAACCTAATAATAATGCAAAAATTTCAAAAAGAAAATAATTAAAAAAACTAACCCTCGTTGGTTGATTTGGTTGATTTTCCATTTCTGATTGTGAGGGTGGCTCTGAGAGATGGAGATAGACGGATTTCGCCGGAGATGGGGACGGATTTCGTCGGAGATGGGTGAGAGAGTGAGAGATGGAGATGGGACTGAGTTGTGATTTTAGGTTTTAGGTTATGAGTTGCGATTACGGGATATACTGTGGACGGTTCAGTGTTCCAATATATTAATATTCGTGTTTAGAATTTAAAAATAAAATACTTGGCCAGGATACTAATGGCGCTTTGAAAATCGCATTGCGATTATGTATTATCGCATTGCGAAAGTCAGAATCGCGTTGCGAAAGTCAGTATCTCGTTGCGATTTTGTATTATCGCATTGCGATAGTAAGTATCGCATTGCGATAGTCAGTATCGCATTGCGATTTTCCCAATTCGCGTTGCGATTTACTTATTCGCATTGCGAATTGGGAAAATCGCAACGACACTGTAGACCATCGCAACGCGATTTTCAACTATCGCAACGCGAAATGCAACGCGAATTTGCGATAATGGAGATCGCGTTGCGAATTAGCGATCGCATTACGATTTTGTTGGTCATTTTGGCAAATCCGGAAAAAGTTGGTTAAAATCGTATATTATATGGGGATTTTGGTCACTGAGGCGATTTTCTCAAATTTTAATTCCCTCTCCTGCTGAAATTGTACGTTGTAAAAATTATGCCTTATAGTGTTGGCCTTAAGCCCAGTAACTAGAGCTGTAAATGAGATAAGAAAGATCGCGAGCTACTCGAGATCGACTCGGTCAAGGCTCGATAAATACTCAGATTGAATGGACTCGACTCGAATTCTTAACGAGCCGAAATGAGCTACTTGATACTCGACTCGAAAAGCTCGTGAGCAGCTCGAAAATATAATATATTAATATTTTTTAAAAAAAAATAAATTATTAATAATATTAATATTTATGTGTTGATTTTTTTAAAAAAAAATACAATAACACTTTCATGTATTTAAGGTTCATGTTCGAATTTGAGTTTAAAGCTTCAATTTAGTTAAGTTTAAGATTTTTTTTCTCTTTATTTCGAGTTTTTTCGAGCTGCTCACGAGCTTCAGTTAAAGATTTCGAGTTCGAGTTGAGCTTAAAAATTTTAAGCTCGCGAGTTTTATAGTCGAATCGAGCTCCATTTCAAAGTTTTCGAGTCGAGTCGAGCTCAGTAATACTCGAACTCAACTTGACTCGTTTACACCCTTACCGATAACGAAGCATGGTTGGTTGCACTTGTCTTTTATAATTTATTGTCAAGAATTTCGTTTTCCATATGTATCAGAAAAGTAAGATTTAGATTGCTCATTTTTTGCCATCAATTTATTAATAATTATGTAACTAAATAAAAACGTATCCACTAATCCTGGATTTGTGATTGAATCCGTATGACCACGACCATTCAAACTCATTTATTTACCATCATTTCGATTTAAATTTAAGGCACAAATCCGTGACCCACACTTAACCAAACATACAAGGACCTTCTAGCGTCTTCCTTTGCAATTTAAGGCACACATTCCACATCACCGGACCCGTGATTAAATATTGGGTAAACTACACGTTTAGTATATTATCACTTTTGTTCCATTTAAGATCATACTTAACATTATGTTTTGATTTTATTTTGGTTTCGTCATTAAAAAATTAATAGATTTGATGACATTATAATTTTTAAAAGTTTTCAATGTTGACATGACTAGGGATGGCAAACGGGTACAATTTTATAGATTTCGTATCGTACCTACTCTAATTGATGCGGGGATGGGTATAACTTTAGTAGGTAGTGGGCGGGTGTGGATTTAGAAAGTGTACCCGTCGCGGGAAGTGGGCGGGTGATGGGTTTGAGACTTTACTCGCCCCGCCTCCGCCCGCCCCATATTCGTCAGCCCCACGTCCTCCCGCAAACTAAATACCCATTAAATTTTGGACCATTATGAATTTAGGTATAATTTTAGAGGCTAATTCTTAATATTGTATAAGATATAACTTATAATTTAACTAAATATTAGGTATAATTTTAGAGAATAATATTATGCTTCTTAATGGTCGTGTTTGTTTTATGTTCGTTGCTTATGTATAACTTAAGGTTACTGTCAGGCGGGTCTAGTCGGGTACGTCTCCAATTGGGTAATGGGTGTGGGGATGAATTTGAGAATTTACCCGCGTGGGCGGGTGTGAATTTGAAAAATTTTACCCATAATGAGTGGTGGATTTGAAAAATATTAGATGAGTATAGGGACAGAGGATAGGATATCCACACCCGACCCACTCGTTTGCCATCCCTAGACATGATATTACCTTATAGACACGTCAATGTCACCATTGATTTTTTAACAATGGATGACCAAAATGAAACAAAAATATAATGTTAGATATAATTTTGAACAAAAATTAATTGAGTGACACGAATGGAACAATAATGATAATAGGTGTACTAAACATGTAGTTTGCCCAAATATATTTTGCATTACTGTCTGAGCTTTCTATTTAAATTTTAAACAACTGCCACCATCCCCTTCTGTTAACAAAGAAAGAAAAAAACATCGCCTTAAGAGCTCTCTTCAGTTCTAATTTATAGTTCTCCTCCTCACAGTTTCTCTCCTTCCATTAAGCTTCATTTTCATGCCTCCTGAATTGGTTCCATCCGCTGATAAAACCAACGTTTTCGCTAAACCGGTCACCTTGCGCAACCGTGCTTACGTCACTTTCTTGGCCGGAAATGGGGACTACGTGAAAGGCGTCGTAGGGTTAGCTAATGGGTTAAGGAAGGTGAAAGCGGCGTACCCTTTAGCTCTGGCTTACTACGTAATCAATTATTCCAAGCTCCGTATTTGGGAGGTACCTCTGTTTGCTACCATCAAACCTGGTAACACGTGTCGTCCTCCCATGCATGTGACATGTACTTATGTTTTAATGTGCTGCTTGCAGTTTGTGGAGTACAGTAAGATGATATACCTTGACGGCGACATTCAGGTGTACGACAACATCGATCGCTTGTTCGATTTGGCCGACGGGAATTTCTACGTAGTAATGGACTGTTTCTGTGAGAAAACATGGAGCCACACACCACAATACAAGATCGGGTACTGCCAACAGTGTCCCGACAAGGTGAAGTGGCCTGCCAAGTTGGGCAATCCTCCTCCTCTTTACTTCAATGACGGAATGTTCGTGTTCGAGCCCAGCCTTACGAACTATGAATCTCTGTTGAAGACTCTGGAAATCACAATCCCAACCCCATTCGCGGAGCAGGACTTTTTGAACATGTTCTTTAAGGACATTTACAAGCCAATTCCTTTGATTTACAACCGTGTTCTTTCCATGTTACGGCGTCATCCCGAGAATGTGGAGCTTGAAAAAGTTAAAGTTGTTCACTATTGTGCAGCGGAGAGTAGCATTTTTTTTGGGGGGGGGGGGGTTTAATGTTGGATTATGTGTTGATTGCTGATGGTGTTGTTGGATTAAGCAGGGATCAAAGCCTTGGAGGTATGCAGGGAAAGAAGACATCAAGATGCTTGATCAGAAATGGTGGGACATTTACAACGACGACTCACTTGATTTCAAGGAACCCACCGTTGGTGAAGCAGAGACGGAGCCCGTTAATCTGCAACCCTTCCTGGTTGCTCTCTCAGAAGCCGGTTTTGTTAGGAAATAAACGAGTAACAAGTAATTTTCCTATAACCAGATTAGTGAGAATACAAAATAAAAGCGGAAAAATAATACTCAAAAAATTGATAACGGAGTTCAGCCAATTGTGCTTACGTCTCCGGACTACTGCAGATCTTTTACTAAAGAAAAAAAATTACAGGTGTTTACAAAACACACTTGAGAGATAACTGGAAGATTTTGGGATGATTTTGAAGCTAAATGAGCTAGGGTATTTATAGTTGAAGCTTAAGGACTAATCTTATAAATACCCTAAAGAGTGCAATGGCTAAAAAATAATTAACCCAATTTTAATTTCAATAAAATATTGGGGCACCGAATTCGGTGCCCCTTTTGCTGAAAACTCTAGCCTTTTATTGAAAAAAACATAGGCGGTGCCCCCCTTGTCAGCCGCAATTCTTGACTTCTCCAACAATCTCCCACTTGAAGATTGATTTTAATCTGTCTTCACACCTCGATCAATGCAGCAACATTTCTGGTCTTGTTACTCTAGCATGCCAACTAAAGCTGAACACAGCTTCAGTTTGTCCGTGGTCACCGTCTTTGTCAACATGTCTGCCGGATTTTGAGCTCCACTAATCTTTTCAAGTTTCAAAATCCCATCTTCCAGAAGAGACCGGATAAAATGATATCTCAATTGTATATGCTTTGTCCTGAAATGAAAAGACGGATTCTTTGCTAGATGGATAGCACTTTGACTATCGCAGTACAAGACATTATTTTCTTGTTTCTTGCCTAACTCTTCCAAGAAACTTTGGAGTCAGACCATCTCTTTGCTGGCTTCCGTAACAGCGACATATTCTGCTTCAGTTGTGGAGAGAGCAACTATCTTCTGTAGTTGAGAAACCCAACTCATTGCAGTTCCTCCTAGAGTATAGACATACCATGTAGTGCTCTTTCTGATGTCAATATTTCCGGCTAAGTCAGCATCTACATAGTCTGTCAGTATAGTATCTCCACCTTTGAAACAAAGTGCTTTGTTTGTAGTACCCCGCAGATATCTGAGGATCCATTTGACTGCTTCCCAGTGTATTTTGACCGGATTATTCATGTACCTGCTAACAGCTCCCACTGCATGAGCAATATATGGTCTAGTACAAACCATGGCATACATCAGACTTCCAATTGCTGAGGCATACGACACTTTTACCATGTGTGCACGTTCTTCCTCCGTCTTTGGTGACTGTTCTTTGGAGAGTCTAAAATGAACACCTAAAAGTGTACTTACTGGTTTAGCATCTTGCATGTTGAATCTGGAGAGTACTTTGTTGATGTACTCAGCTTGTGATAACATCAAAGTCCCCGACTTTATGTCTCTCTTGATCCTCATCCCAAGAATCTGCTTTGCAGCGCTCAGATCTTTCATTGCAAACTGCTTCGACAATTTTTGCTTCAAGTTTATAATCTCTTGCATGTCTGAGCCTGCAACGAGCATGTCATCAACATACAACAATAAAATAATGAAGCTGTTGTCGAACCTCTTGATGTAGCAACAATGATCTGCTTGGCATATGGTAAAACCACTGCTACTCATGAAACTATCGAACTTCTTGTACCACTGTCTAGGAGCTTGTTTTAAACCATACAAGCTCTTCTTCAACCTGCATACAAGGTTTTTCTTGCATGCCTCTATGAAGCCTTCTGGCTACCTCATATAGATTTCTTCCTCCAAATCACCATGAAGGAAAGCTGTCTTTACATCTAACTGCTCAAGATGTAAATTCTCTGCAGCTACAATTTTTAACACCAGTCTGATTGTAAACGAGTAACAAATAATTTCCCTATAGCCAGATTAGTGAGAATACAAAATAAAAGTGGAAAAATAATACTCGAAAAATTTATAACAGAGTTCAGCCAATTGTGCTTACGTCTCTGGACTGCTACAGATCTTTTACTAAAGAAAAAAAATTACAGGTGTTTACAAAACACACTTGAGAGATAACTGGAAGATTTTGGGATGATTTTGAAACTAAATGAGCCAGGGTATTTATAGTTGAAGCTTAAGGACTAATCTTGTAAATACCCAAAAGAGTGCAGTGGCTAAAAAATAATTAACCCAAATTTAATTTCAATAAAATATTGGGGCACCGAATTCGGTGCCCCTTTTGCTGAAAACTCTAGCCTTTTATTGAAAAAAACATAGGCGGTGCCCCATGTCAGCCTCAATTCTTGACTTCTCCAACAGGTTCAGTCCACTTCGTGGCTGCTCCATCGGCGGCGTAAATATGGCCGGCTCTCTTTTATAACGACGATAAAAATAGCCTCAAGTTGTAAAAAAAGTATTATTGTCAGAATCGGGAAAGGTTGTTCTCGAAGAGAGGTTGAAGGATTGTTAAAATCTTCTAGGTTTGTTTCAATTATTAATTACTATGTTTCTTTTTTTCTTTTGGGTTGATGAAAGTTGAGTGCCAACTTGACGTGTGGGGTCAAGATTTGGATGGTATGATGAAGATTCATAAGTAAAGATATATATTGTAAAACACATCAACATTATCTCATGACCCTCCATAACACGAATTATCCAAACTTGATCAGCATTAGATGATTTTATTATACAAATGGTAAATAAAGTAATTTACTAAACAAACAAGCTATAAATTAGATATTATCACTAACTTAGAGAAAAATATACCTTTGTTAAGTTGATACTTGATAATTTGGGAGAGAAATCATTGAAAAATTATATAGAAATAAAATTATGTTGAAAAGATTAGAGATGAGGACGGATGTCGTCGGAATTGAGACTGATGTCGCCGGAGAGAGTGAGAGATAGAGATGGACTGAGTTGTGATTTAGGGGGTTAGGTTATGAGTTGTTACTACTACTTAGTTTATATACCCAAAATATTTGTGTTGCGAAATTAAAAGCTGAGTTGCGAAATTTAAATTCGCGTTGCAAAAACGAAATTCGTGTTGCGAAATTTAAACCCGCGTTGCGAATTAGAAAATCTTGTTGCGAAAAGGAAACTCGTGTTGCGAATTTAAAAATCGAGTTGCGAAAAAGAAATTCGTGTTGCGAAATTGTCAAATTCGAGTTGCGAATTCGGAAATTGTGTTGCGAAATTAGCTTTCGTGTTGCGAATTTAAAATTGAGTTAGGAATTCGTTGGTTATTTTTGGAAATCCAAAAAAAGTTAGTTAAAATCGTATATTATAAGGTGTTTTCGGTCACTCAAGTTATTTTATCTTTCACAAAAGAATCTTGTGTCAGTGGAAATTGGGAATTGTAATCTTAATTTTGCAGCAATTGTTACATGAGTATATAAAATAAGATGGTAGAGGTGAATATTTGATTGAATCTAGCTGTATATTTATAAATTTTAAGATAATAGTTTATATCTATCAAAAATAAAAAAATTTACATTCTTTTTCTCACATTTTAATTAATTCGGATTGATTTGCATCGTACATAGAGTTTTTTACATACATAAAATATATAAACTTGAAACATTGATCAAACGATATCATGTTGCTTACCATTTAAACTCATCTATGTTGACCAAAAAAAAGTACTTCAAGAGTTAGATCAATAATTCAATAATAAAATTAATTACCACAAGATGATAAATCTACCCTAAAAGTAGAAAAATTATATTAGTAAAATTGAAACATGTTACAAAAAAAATATTCAATAATTTTCATAAAAACAAGAAAATCTATTAAATAGAAATAATTAAAAAGTTTATATATACAAAATAGATATGTGAAATAACTTTTGAAGGGATATAATAAAGAAGAAAAAGAGAAAGTGAAGGTGTAGTACCCTCGTAATTTTTATGTTAAAATTAGAAGTTGTCGTGTTTTATAAAATTTCAAATTTTAGGCTTTTTATAAATTTTATTTCGTAATATTCAAGCTCTTGTTGACTTGATTAGTAGATCATTTGAACTTCTTCCACCCTCTTCTAAAATCCTTTTTTACCCTTCCCTACTCCTCCACTTTTAAGCCTAAAGCTTTACTAAATGCTTCAACTTTATGTAGTTATCCTGTCATCCAGTTGTAAGAAGATAAGTTTCTTCTTGAAATTTGGGAGTTAATTGAAAGAACCAAATTGAATTTAAATCTGAAATTCCGAGGACTAATTTGAATAAATATCAAAACTGGTGGCTTAATGGAAAACTTTGCCAGATTAGGGACCTTATTGAATGTGGATGAATATTAGAAGTTCACTCTGAGAGCTTTAAACCTCTGCAGGGACGAGTGGTATAATTTTCTATTTTGGGTAGCAAGCTGAAAAGAAAGAAAAACGTGTAAACAGGGAAGGCTGGCCTCTGGCAACCCTGGACTGGAGGCTCAATTTGTAATCAAATGGATTTTGTGTTGTTTTTGCATTTAAGTGAAACCCCAAGTAAATAAGTGGTTTTTCAGTCAGAATTCGACCCTTGAAAACAAGATTATGTCGTGTTTCATTTTAAGATTAATCTGTCTTTAATAAAAACCTTAAAGCCTTTATGTTATCTTTTTCAATAAAGAACTTGAACATTGTGTACGTTCACGTAGGAATTCCAAACAAAATCTTGTTCATTTCGCCACCACCTTATACACATGTATACTTCTCATGTTCACGAAGTTTTCATATTGAAAAAAAATCACTAAAAATGGCTTATCTCCATTCCCTTACCATCCTTTTCCTAGCCTGTATCTTAATTGTCTGCACTGCTAATAGAGCATTGATTGACAGCATCTTTAGAGACTCCCAAGACTCTAATTTCTGCATTTCTATCTTCGAAAACTATCCTCGCTCAGAGAAAGCCGATTTGCATGGTCTTGCACTCATCGCTACTTCGAACACGATTATTCAAATCCAAGACACGGTGAGTCAAATCCCCGCCATGCTTTCACAAACTAAAGATCCGCTTGGGAAGAACCGACTGATGGTTTGTCAATCCGATTACAATAAATCGCATGGAAAGTTTCAGAGTACGTTCAGTTCTACGTCCAGGAATGCATATTGGGACGCTATAAACAATGTTAGGAATGGAACTAATGCTGTGATCGATTGTCACCACCACCCATTGATCAATCGTCACCTTACCGGTACCCAAAATTCCTAAATTTAAAATCTCCAATTCCCAATTTCAGTTATAGTTGGCAACAATCTTGGACTATCATCGTCACCGCCAAATGGTTGGGTTTTGATCAGAATTGCATGGTGAAGGCAATGTGACTTATGAATGTCGAAATCTGTCAGAATCGATGAAGAAACACGACAGTATCCGACGAATCTTTGAACATTTCTCTACGAAAAACAGTGACATATTACGACGAAAGATCAACAGGGATTTGATCGGGTCGACATCAGTGTTGATGACCATGACTATTGGCCGGCCTATGGCTATGCAAGGGGAAAAGGGAAAGGGGGAGAGGGGAGGGAGCACAGGAGCTGTTGTTTGTTTTTTTTTTAAATATTTTTTTGATCTTTAAAATTATCAGAACGTGAAATGTGTGATTTAAAGGGAATTTTTAACGACGGTTAATGTCCGGGCACCTAAAATTAAAAATATAACGTTTGAAACATTGAACACTTATTTTTAACGAAATTTTTTGACACTTCAAACGTTTTTCAAGACATACTTTGAACACTTCTTTTTGTATTAAGCCAAAAGAAAACAAATTGAGAGGGTTAGAAGTTGTAATTTAATAAGTGTGGTATTTTATGAGAAGAGATGTTATATTGTTTTACATTTCTTTTGTTTCTGCTCTCTAAAATTATTATGCTGAATTCGTTTTTACTCTAATATTTAAAAAGCTGTCCTTTTTATTTGACCAAGGAACAATTTGATACTTGGAATTAATTTCTAGGTGATTTAATTCTTCTATTGCGTTTGATTCTCTAACATATGTGTGTTATATAAAAACTTGATTTAGAAAGTGTGAAAAATGATAAGTAAATGAAGATATATCTATCAGTTGAGTATTGTTTGATAAAGGGAGTAATACTAAATTCCCAATTGCATCTGGAACTGATTGTCCCAGCGGATTGGAAGAAACTGACATTTTAAGCATTTTCGTTAAGTGCGGAGCTATAGGTGTATCTGATTTCTCCTGTTTTGTTTAATATCTTTATATTTCTCCTGTTTATTGAACAAGCTAACCTTCAATTACCAACAAGGAAAGAACTTTCCCAAACTTGGGGAATTTTTTTCAGCTATCTGTATAATACCAGCAAGAAAACCCAGAATTTATCAATTATTTTTAGACTACATATAATAAATTATTTTTAGACTACATATAATAAATGGCAATGTTTGCAAGAAACAAAAGAACATGGGGAAAAACAAAACTCTTGAACGGGATAAAACATCCAGGACAGCAGATTGTGCCTGACAACTCAATTATGCCATCTATGCCTGCAGATTGTGTATATGAATATCAGCATTAAAATTGGGGTTGAGATGTACTCCGTTATTATTTTGTCCATTACTTTCCTATCCATTAATCATTATCATACTTATGTGTAGGACTCGCCTATTGATTGCGTAGATCATGCTTATGAACAGTGGTGATGGTGATTAAGTTTGAATTGGATAGTAATAGATGGGAGCTTGACCCAACAAATAGAAGGAAGGAGAAACTGAAGAAACCGAAATGGATATTTCACGTTTAAATGCAAGTAGCTTACCTTGTTCGCAATGTTGTTTGAGAGCCAGTCCAGTCCCTCGTACAAACCTTCACCAGAAGTGGCACATGTGCTCTGGATGTACCTGCAAAAAGGGAATTATGCAAAGGGTTAAATCCAGATCCAAAAATACAGACACCATCAGAGAACGCAAGAGAGAATGGGTTCATCTTACCAGTGGCGCTTGCGGAGAGATTGAAGGCCAAGCTTGTCGGTAATCTCAGCAACATTCATTGCGTTTGGAAGATCTTGCTTGTTTGCAAATACTAGCAGGACAACATCCCTCAACTCATCCTCTCAATGCACATAAAACAACTTTTTAGAGTCCATTAGAACACTACTACAGCAAAACTATTCTATAGCGGCGTTTGGAGAGAAAACGCCACAAAAGTAAAACATATAGCAGCGTTTGCAATCCAAACGCCACAAATTGAGACTTTAGCGGCGTTTTTTGTGCAAATGCTGCAATAGAGTAGAAATATAGCGACTTTTTTGGTAAAAACGCAGTCATAGGGTGGTATATAGTGGTGTTTTTCCAACAAACATCGCAATTAAGAATAGTTTTGCGTCGTTTTTAGACAAACGCCACAGAAGGGTTAATCAATAGCGGCGTTTATAGTAAAAACGTCGCAATAGAGTAGACATTTAGCGGCGTTTTAGCCCAAACGCCGCAATAGAGTGTTAATGTAGCGGCGTTTATACCACAAACGCCACAATATATTGGTAAATTAGTGGCGTTTATATCTAAAACGCCGCAATATGGTTGTTTAAGTGGCATTTTTTATATAAACGCCGCAAAAAATATGTGATATAGTGGCTTTTTAAAAACGTCGTAAAATGTTAAATATATTGTCCTCCATTTTCTCCCACCCGAAACCTAAAACTATTTCAACTTTTCTTCCCTCACAGTTTCTTCTCTGGTACAACAACGACCATCACACGATTCCAAGTGACGTCGTCTTTTGTCTGTCCCGACGACCAAATCGACCCTCTCACTGACGAACTATAACACAATTCCACGATTTGATCCCTTTTATCACTAATGATCTTTTTCATTTTGTTTTGGTTGGTATATATTCTGAAAATGGGGAAAACCCAGAAAGCTATCGTATTTGAGAGAAAAAAAAACAGGTGTTGCCTTGAGTAAGAGAAATTATCGTCGGAATGTCTACGTGGCGAATTTGCTCTGACGATGGATCAAATTATCGTTGGGAGGCTATCGGTCTGGTCTCGCCGTCAAAACTCGATGATGACTCGAAAGAAACTCATATTACTCCATACCCTTCCATGACCGATCTCCTACTTGAAGGTAATAATCTATGAATCTTTATGCCGCTATATTTCCCTTTTTGTACGCTCACTCAAATTTCATAGATCGTACGCATGTAGGATGTTCGAAGCTTATTGAGAACAATCATAGAGGAATGGATAAATACCCTATGTTTAGAACCGAATTTGGTAAATCTGCGGTGTTGAAAGAATCTTCAATTGCAAAAGCAGTATCGATCCTCAATGAAGACGATATTGTCTCTACTGTTACTCCAAGTAAACGTTTATATCATCTATTTAAATTTATTTTAATGTTTGATTCAATCCCCAAGACACCTCCAATCAAGTTTCATACTGTAAGTGGAGGGTCGTTATCTGTTTCAAGTGAAGCATTGAAGCGCGCAAGGAGTCTTCTTGGTACATTATGGTACATTGTAGGAAAATACATCCGGTTCTAAAGTTGGTCGAATCCAACTATTTGACATGACACATACGAAGAAGGATGACACTCCTATGACTGCTGAAGCTGTAGAAATTATGGTACATTTATTAGGTAGATGTTTTAAATTTACCTGACTTTATTTATATTTGTACCATGACATTTTTATTTTAATTATTTATTCACCTTATTTTTAAGAAAAATTGAGGGAGAAAATGGCAGAGTATCACGCTACTGGTTCGAGTGAAGGTCTTGTTAATGATGATGACATTGAAAACTGAGCTATTAATGACGTTTTGGGTTCTGAAAGATATGGTTGGGTGCGCTGTCAATGATCATTTGTTACTCTCACCAAATATTTTGGATACAGTTCATCACAGTACATGTCATCACAATCTCAATCTTCTCAATTAGAAGTTAGTCGTTTAAAACAAAAGTTGGCTGATATGGATCAACAAATGGCTAACATGAAAGCAAAAAATGAAGCAAGGGAAGCAGCGGCAGCACAGAGAGAAGCAGCATATCATCAGAGATGTGAAGAATTTTAAAAACGACTCAATGATATGATGCAGATGATACAAAAAACTCAACCTCAAAATCCACCATCATAGTCTCATTATGTTATCAACATGTTAATGTTACTGAACCGTGTTTAACTGAACTTATATTACGTTAACGAAAACTTTTATTTATTATATTGGATTTGATGTTGCTTGTTATGGATATAGAGTTTGATGTTATTGCTGTCATGTTTGTTGGATAATGGAATATGTTGAAAAAATAAATTTGGGGTAATCGATAATAATTTTTTAATTGGTTAAATTATGTGTTATTTAACGGCGTTTGTAACGAAAATGGCGCAATATATCATACATTTAGTGGCGTTTGTATAAAAAAATGTTGCGAAATATTAACACCTATTGCGACGTTTTTTATAAAAACGCCGCTATATATCAACCTTTAGCGGCGTTTATATCCTAAAATGCCGCTAAATACCAGACCTTTAGCGACTTTTGCATAAAAAAAACACCGCTAAATCTCAACACCCTTACAAACGCCGCTACATATTGTTACCTATTGCGGCGTTTTTCGTTAACAAACGCCGCGAACTTTAGCGGCTCTATTTTCAACGACGCTTTTGCAGCGTTTGTCATAACGCCGCAGGTGTTTTTGTTGCGCTTAAAAACGCCGCAATAGGTCAAAAAACACCGCAAAAAGACAATTTTGTTGTAGAGGAACCATAAGCCATAAGAAACTCTATGCTCAAAGTACCTCATTCAACATCCTGTGCAACTCATCTCTAGTTTCAACCACACGATCACGATCATTGCTATCAACCACAAAAATAAGTCCTTGTGTGTTTTGGAAGTAATGTCTCCACAATGGTCGGATCTATATAGAAAATCATATCAAATCAACCACACTTCTCATTAGTCCAATAGATAGAAAGATCTAAGATATACCCAAACCATACGATTCAATTTTGAGTACTAAACATCCAACTTTGCGCATACCTATGGAACACCTTTGATGCCACCTATACAGTTAATAATAACATCTTTAAATGAAAGCCAAAGATGGGTACCTTGTCCTGGCCACCAACATCTAGGGGTGTAAACGAGCCGATTCGAGCTCGAGTATTGCCAAACTCGACTCGAACTCGAAAACTTTAAATGTAAGCTCGACTCGACTCGAAAACTAGCGAGCCTAAAATTTTTAAGCTCAACTCGAACTCGAAAGAAAATATTAAAACTCGACTCGAACTCGAAAATGCTCGAACTTAAAAAAAATTCAAAAACTTGACTAAAACTCGAGCTCGATTCAAGCTCGATTTAAGCTCGACAATTTAAGTTTCATTAGCTGAAACTCATGCCCTTTTATACACTCACTTTACCCCTTATTCCCCCAAGGACCACCGACGTGGATATATACCAAGCTTCTTTTCACTCTCATCTTTGATCTCTGTTTCAAAAACAAAGCTTCTTGAGGAATTTCAGTCCTTACAAACTGAAAAGCCTCTAAATTTTCATCCTTTGGGTTATTTTAGGGTTACCCTTTTGCCCACTTTGGAACTGGAACCTAGGCTTTTCCAAATCAATTTGTATGTTTTCTCGTCAAACTTTGATTAGGAAATAAAAACTGCATGCTTCGAACATTTTCATCTAAACTTGAATTTTTTTTTACTGCATGTAGATTCGTATAAACACGCAGCATGTTTACCAACGATAAAAGACAAGACGAAAGAACTGGAAAATATGGAACTTCAAGGCTCCAATATCTTCAGGTAACTTTTTTTTCCTTTTTTGTTTTCAATTCGAATATTTGGGTATCTGTATTTTACACAAGGTTTATGGGTATAAAATTTCATGTAAAGCAGCATAGAGGAAAACAATTCATTAATTCTTGTTTACCCATTTCGCTTTAGGAATTGGTGAATCAGTTTCAGAACACAACTGATGAAGGTATGCTTCATCTTTAGAGCTTCCGTCGTTGCTTATGTTCGAGACCTTTTGTCAATAATCTCCCCTTAGATTAATTGAACTTATTTTATGGGTTAATTCACTATTTTCAGTCAAACTTTCATACTTGGGGATTTAATTGCTTGTTCAGAATGAGTGAAAACAATATCAGATAATTCTGGTTTCGTAAGCTTGTTTAATACTTGTAGTTTGTTTAGAAGAATGTATCAATAATTCCTGACTTGTCAGATTTAGTGTGTTCCAATTTGCCATATTTCTCCGATTCTCTTCATAATTCTTAACTGAATGGGTACTTGTTGAACAGAAACAAAGGAGAAGATTGCTGCAAATTTGGCAAACTTTGCCTATGATCCATATAATTATTCATTCCTGCGTCAGGTTCAAATTCATGTTTTCTGTGAAATTATTTATCTCTCAAATTTGATTAGTGTGTATCAAGTACTTTTTCTGTCACATTAACATCTTACTTTCTCTCGAATTAAAGAACACTATATGCTCTCGTACTACATAATACCACAAATTTAAAAAACCTGACCTTCATTACTGTCGTATTCGTATTTTATAATCCATCATTATTTTATTTAACAATTAATTAATTCAAATTAAATATTATAAAATTTTATTAAAAATATATATAGAATTTACATTGTTAATTTTTGTATTTCAATCACATTTGTTTAAATTTTCTTATTTGTTTTAAATGTTCAGGTGTCATTAATGTTATTTTCCATATTATTTTAGCTTAAACCGAATATGATCAATTGCATATAAGACCCTGTAGTTTATGTGAAATTTGTATTTAAGTCATTGGTTTAATTCCAATTTTGTAAGTTTAATTTTATATTTAACCCTAAACCCTAACCCCTAACACAAAAACCCTAAATCTTAAAATCTAAACCCTAAACCCTAAACCCTAAACCCTAAACCCTAAACTCTAAAACCTTAAATCTTATCACATAAACTATAAACCCTAAACCCTAAACCCTAAACTTTATAATATAATTAGAAGGAATGAGGTGGCTTAGTGAAAGGAGAGAGAGTATACTTGTTTTTCTTTTGCTTTTTGGGGAACAAAAATCTAATAAGAAGCTTCAATCTTTTTTATTTCTGCTCCTCTTCTCTTCTCATACTTCTCTTTATTTACTGTTTTGATTTTCCAACTCTGCAATTATTACTTACTTTTTTTTTCAAAGTAGAATCTAGTAATGCATATATATTTGTCTTGTTTTACTTTATATGATACATGTTAGTAGTAGGGATGCTCATTTTCTCTCAAATATGATTTGATGACATTGATTTTGTTAATTAAGATATTAATGTAAGCCTAAATGAGTTTTTTCTTTCTTAATTCTTTATAAAATCGGTTACACTCTATTTTGATATATTTTTTTAAATTATTAATATTTAAATTGAATCATATTTTTTTATTATATTATATTTATTATCAAATAAAAAATAGTTATGAGGTAAGTACATATAGTATCTTGATATTAAATGCTCAAACCCTTGATATTTATGATATTTGAACTCGAAACCTCAAAATATAACAACAATTTAAAAAATTAGTTATTACAATATTATCGTTAGAAAATATTAATATATTTCATTAGAATAATTTTTTTATTAATTTAAAATAAATATAAGAATATTTATTCAAAAATAATTTTTAACCATTTTCAATTCAAGAATATTTATTCATCAATAATGTATTTTTAATATATTTTTAATAATGTAATTTTAAAAAATCTAAAATTATAATATAACATTTTTTTGAGCTGCTCACAAGTTTTTCGAGTCGAGTATCGAGTAACTCGTTTCGGCTCGTTAAGAACTCGAGTCGAGTTCGAGCTCGAGTCGAGTCCATTCGATCCGAGTATTTATCAAGCCAAGATCGAGTTGATCTCGAGTAGCTTGCGATCTGTCTCGTCTCATTTACATCCCTACCAACATCCCAAACAGTGAAGCTGATGTTCTTATATTCCACGGTCTCAACATTGAATCCTACAAAATTCTATAATATATCAGAACCTGAAACAAAAGTTATTTTGAATAAGAAATAGTGAAGAAGGCTGCTTACCAATGGTAGGAATGGTAGTGACAATCTCTCCCAATTTAAGCTTGTAAAGTATGGTGGTTTTACCAGCAGCATCAAGACCAACCATCAGAATGCGCATCACCTTCTTGGCAAAAAGCCGGCTGAATAGCTTTGTGAAAGACAACCCCATTTTTCACGTCTGCCAAACACCAAAATCCATATATAAATTTCCATAATCATAGATGGAGTTTGAAAATCAAAGTCAAAAGCTAACGTTCAGAAATCAAAACAAACATAAGATCGTACAAGCAACGATCGGAAAGTAAAGAGAGATGGATTGATCCATATATTGCGAAATATTTTTGATCCGAGAAAATGCAAACCGGAGCAATTTAACTAATAAAAGACGCTTTCCCGAGATTCTTCTAAGATGAAACTACGAAAAGGATTAAAAATTCAAGAGATTAACACAATGTTGAAACAAAAGTGGTCATTTTAAAATAAAAAAAAAAGCAGGATCTGGAGAGAGAAGCTAAATGAGACAAAAATCAAGTAACAATTGAAAATTCGTTTTGGATTTTAAGATAGAAGAGAAAGTTGCCAGAGACAAAAGCGAGCTGTTATCAAGCAACGACGAACGACGGAAAGAAGCGAAGATCTACTCTCTTTCTCTCTCGAAATCGAAGGCAATTGACGCTTGAAGCTGAACACTTAAGAGCCTTATCTATATATAGGTTGTTAACATTGATTAACACAAAGAAGCCCACTTTGGGAAGAGGAAAAAACTTGCTCTTAATGGTAGGAGACTCTAGTGGTTGCTGTTTGTTTGGGGGAGGAGTTTGCTGGGCTGTAAAGCGTTTCGTTTCAAAGGTTGGGAGCTATTGTGAAATCTGGTTAGTGTTGACTTTGATTTCGTGTCCTATCTGCTTGTGAAGATGCAGGTTGGGGTCCGGACGTTCTACCTTTGATCACTGCTGATTCCAGTAGTGATCGTTTTTGTGTGCATACGGAAGCTTCGTTTGTGGGGTGTTTATTTCTGTTTCTGGTGCTGTGCTTTGTTGGCTGGGTTAGCTGGGTAGTCTTGAAATGCTATTGTTCTCTGGATTTATGCTTCTGTCCTTGGCCGAGTTTTTAGAGCTTCAAGTCCTTCCTTATACATTGGATTTGTTTCAGCAAGTGAGTTTCGCTTTGTCTCAATGCTTGGAGTCGTTCAAGATCTGGTTGCTGTCAATGTATAGTTAGAGGTGTTGGTTCATTCCGTTGGTTTTGCTGTCTGTGGTTATTCCCCTATTTAGTTTCTTTTTATGGTTTGTTGGGATGGCTTTGTTGGTTTGTTAGGGGGATTGTTGATTTGTTAAGGGATTGTTGTAGGACTGGGGAATGAATTGTGTGTTGTAAGTCTTTGTGTTTTAGATTCTTACCACATTAATATACATTCTTCTTACTCTATATAAGATTAAAGATATTTTTTAACGAGATTCTTGAGGTGATTTACTTTATAATCTTTCTCTATAAAATTAACATCTTCTAATAAAAAAAACTCAAAGAAGCCACAAGGAAAATTGGACGAGCTATTAAGCCTATTCGCTAGGAGATACTTTGCTTTGATTGGACCCAAAATCATCATTGTCTAAATATGATGGACCTGAGCGTAAACAATGGCTTTAATCTTTAAATCATATTTAGAAATTACTATATAATTACAAATTGAAGTAATGATAAATTATATTTTAGACTAAAGTAAACGTATTATAATATACTATTTTATTGAGTTTGTTAACTACTAAAAATTATAAAGTGATTATTCATAAGTTTTATGTTCGTCTTTTTCGTTAAAAATTTAATGATGATGTGAGTTGAATATTAACATATTGATTGGGAGATGATAAAAATGATCTCAAAATTTCAAACGACTATCATATCTCAATTAATATGTTAACGTTCAACTTGAACGATCGTTAATTTTTAGCGAAAAATGATAATTTTGAAATATACTAATAATCAAGTGATCATTTTATAACTTTTAATAGTTAAGGGACTCAATAAAGTAATATCATATAATCGAAAAATTATTTTAAAACTTTTAATAGTTTAATAACTCCATAAAGTAATACATCATAGTCAATGGATCGTTTGTGTACTTTACCTTATATTTTAAATCTTGAAATATTATATCATTGTACTAACACTTAAAAATAACGATAATGTGTATAAACATCACTAAAATATGATTTTATCATATTTTAGTCTATATTAAGATCAATTTAGATGATCTTTAATATTTTAATATTAAAAAATAAATTTAAAACATATAATTAATAATTATTTTATAAATTTTTTATAATTAAAATATTTAATAAAATAACATCATATAGAAATAATATTTATGTACTTTATGTATCATTTAATAGGAAACGAAGTATATGCATGAAAATATCCGTCACGTGGTGAGAGGGCCCCAATATTACTGATACCACAGAAAAAATTCAAAAAAGAAAAATGCCGTCGGCAACAAACAAAACAATTGCCCTTGGTCTTCACGGTGCAGTGATTTGATCAGATCTGAAAGCTTGTCTCTCAATTTGAATTACCATTGATTTAATTTCAAAACAGCAAAAATCACTGTATTCACCTACCTTAACCGAGAGATTCGAGATCGAAACATTGATAATTAAGATGAACAATATAATACAAGATTAAACTCCATTAACTCATTTTTTGAACAATAAAAATTTAAACTGAACCAGACGAAAGGGTGAGATTAAGATCCAAACCATCATCGTCATCATGTTTTTTCTTGTCTTCTTTCTTGTTGTATGGAGTTGGAAAGACGACGAGCGGCCTTCGAAACTCAAATTCTGAAGTGAAGTCTTCCCATTCAAATCTCGGAACCCAACTCGATCGCTCATCGTTACCCAACTTACTTGCCTTGCTCTTCTTCATCTTCTTATTTATATCCTCCTCGTGATCTCTTTGTCTCAGCTCGTGTTTTCGCTTATTACGCGCCTCGCGATAACTCCTTAGCAGCGCAAAAAACTGCACCATTTTCTGATCCTCTTGCTCCTCACCATCACCTTCACCATTCGAAACATGATTTCTCTCCGTCGCCATGTCAAAGAAGTTGTACGAGTTTTTCTGGTGACGAGCTGGTTCATATTTATACAAGTTTGGAAATAGAAAATTAAGGGATCCTCCTAAAAGACCGACATGCCCCGCCGGCGCTAAACTCATCTTGCGTCATCTAGAAGGGCAGAAGAGTAAGATAAGATTAGCGACTTGTGAAATCACGAGTTGCGTCAGTTTTTTCTTTATTTTGAGGAAAGAGTTGCGTCAGTTAATGACGCACTGACGCGGGTGGGGGATTGATTGCAGGGGAAACGAACTGGGTGGCAAGAATGATGACGTAATAATGATGACGCAATACGAGATGAATGTTGTTGTTGAAAAGAAATTGAGAGGTTGGCGTTCTTTTTCAACCCTTAGGTACCAAATATGCAGACGCTAGGCAAGAAAATCACACAACACAATCAAATATTCGGTTTTTTAAACACCCATTCGTTAAGACTATGACATCTACCCAGGAATACCCCCAAACTACGTCGGATTGAAAGACATATATCATATATTTGTTCCAGAGATTTCATTAGAGTAATTTTTTTAAAATTTTAATAGAGTAAATATTATTTTAATAATATTATTAAACAGATTCCTAGTTGAATTTATTTTAAATATAATAAATAATTAAAAAAAGAGGGGGCAGGGCCCCCCACACCATACACGTTCAGGTCCCTGTATTGGGGATTTTCTAAATGGAATTAAGTGGAGAATTGTTAACTTATGGGTTTGATTTTAACGTTGGTGATGGTAGTGGGTTTCACATGGCTTGTTGATTGTTGAAACACTATCATGACACCGACTTCACACCTAAAAACTTTATCAGATTAGACATGATTGTGAATCTAGAAAGTTTACGCCATATTGGTATTTAGGTTAAACGTTACTTTGAATCCATAGTCTATATTATTTACAGGTTTAGCTAAAAAATTAAGTGAAGAACTTGATCTACACCCCCACTTAAAATCGTAAAATAGCCTTCGAATTTAAATTTACAGGGAAGATTTTAACGGACAACATATATGCATTTGATTTTTTTTTATTAATTTAGAAGAATTATAAGTGATATTTTTTGTTTGAAAGACTCCCAACGATTTAACATTGAATAATTGAATATATTATAGTCACTGGTGCTCGAACCTAAAATCTCTAAAGATAACAATCCATTATTTTAACTATGAGACCATTTAACTGGTATAATTTTTTAACTTTGTTAATAGAATTGATATAAGTGGATGAAGTGGACGATAACTTAGAAAAGAAATTGAGACCTAAATTAGGGGCGAAGAAAAATGATCCGTTATTATCTAATTCTTGGGGTCTTAAAACTAGATGTAGGGAAGATTTGGAGAAATACGAGGTATGAAAGAACTGAATGCTTTTTGTTTTCTTTGTGGCATGCTTTGACATGGTAAAAACGTGTGTCTGAAAATTAGGGTGGGTAGAGACTAGAGATGATAGTAATTTGAAGTATGGCTATGGGCCACGGGCCATGGTTGAGATTGTTTTTAAAATTTGAACTTTAATGTTATGAAAATTTTTGTAATATTGGTTGACAATGTTCAAAAGAGTTTGCGTATATAAATGCTTCTTCATTCTTTAAGTATGTTCGATTGTTAATTTGATATTATAAAATATAATTTTAGGATGTTTTAATGCGTGTGTGATGATGATTCAAAGAATGTCTAAACATGTTCATTGATTGTAGAATTGTTTAGGTATTGGTGACCTAAAATTACATGCTCAAGCTTAATTTTGTATCTTTTAAAAAATGATATATTTTTAAAAGAACTGATCTGTTCTACTTATTGCCTAGGTGAAATTTACGTTACTTAATGTTATATCGTCGTAATAGGTACAAGAACTATTGGTCTACATTCTCCACATTCGTAATTAATGTCGCCATAAGGGTTCTTTGGCTTAATAATGCACGTGGGGAAATATAGAAAATAAAGGTATATGAGAATAATTTTATACTTTAAGTCATTTATAATGCATGTAAAATTTCTCACGAGGGGATAACGAAAGTTATAAAAATATATTAAAAATTAAAATTTATTATAAGGGATGACAATTTTATAAAATTTTATTTTAATTCATATTAAAAAAAATTATTATTTTTAAGATATTTTATAAAACTCATCATCCCGTAATAAATTCTACACATATAATAGCAAA